CAGTAGAAATCTGCATAGGATGATAATAGTCAACCTTTGTGGCTTGAGTATTTGTAAAGCTTGCAGTAAGAGATGCATTTGTAAAATGATGTAAAATGATTTTTGCTGATGAGATGGAACGGAGATGTTTATATACTGTGTTGTGTCATGAGAAGTCCACTAATTCATTAAATTGGATACATTCATGTAATGTCATACTATATTTATAATTGGTTTTAATCATTATATTCTGGAGAATAATTATTTTATGTCTCTTTAACTGTAAGCATACATTTAATAATTTTCTCATAATGATTAGTAATCAAGCAACACATATTTTGGGCAATCTTCAAGAGAAATAAGTCTGAAATTTCCCAGATTGAGGTCACTGTGTCAGATTTTTACATAAGCCCTGTCTGGAAATTCAGGATTCATCTGTTAAGAAAAGAAAAGCTTCATCCCTTTCTTTTCTTTTTTCTTTTCTTTTCTTTTCTTTTTCTTTTCTTTTCTTTTCTTTTCTTTTCTTTTCTTTATTATTTTCTTTTCTTTTCTTTTCTTTTCTTTTTTTCTTTTCTTTTCTTCTTTTCTTTTTTCTTTTCTTTCTTTTTCTCTTCTCTTCTCTTCTCTTCTCTTCTCTTCTCTTCTCTTCTCTTCTCTTCTCTTCTCTTCTCTTCTCTTCTCTTTCTCTCTTTCAGATTTTATTTATTCACGAGAGAGACACAGACGCAGAGACATAGGCAGAGGGAGAAGCAGGCTCCCTGCAGGGAACCCGTTGTGGGACTCAATCCCGGGACCCTGGGATCACAACCTTAGCCCTAGGCAGATGCGCAACTACTAAGCCACCCAGGTGCCCACGATGAAGCTTTTGTGCTCAGCTATACTTGGTAGTATTGATGGTTATTGCCACATTAAGATTTTAGCAATTCTGGAAAGTGTGACAACTATGATTAAATCTGGTTCTGATAGATATACCTTATTTCTGGTGTGCTTTCTCGCTCGCATGCACACTCTTCATGTTGTGTGTGTGTGTGTATACATCTATAGTATTTGTCATTTCTTCTCAGGTTGATTTTGTAATTTAACTCAATTAATTGAGCCCGCTCACGAACCAGGCACAGGTTAATTGTGAAGAAGGCCTTAATGACCACCAGTTGGGAGCGTGATTTCTGCCCTGGGAGCAAAGTTGGGGGCAGTGGCATGAAGAGAACACATGCAGCAGATTTCACTGATGCACAGGGCACCTTGGGAATATCTCCTCGGCTTTCTCATTAATCACCTTCATAGTTCTTTTTGAGTTGGGCAATAACAACATTAGGGAAGCATAGATGAATTTGCTGACATTTCTGATGCAGTGAAGGTCACATTGAAGCATGTTTTGGGCTGAGGTGCCATCAACTTTGTGAGAAGCTAGGTGATGTTATTCAAAAGATAGAAATGTGAAAAATTTAGAACTAAGATCTTGGCCTCCAGTTACTTTGCCAAAGAAAAATACAACTCCTTTGAGTGAATGTTAGAATCAAAGTGTATACTTTGGCACTGCATTGGGAATGACAATTCCAGTGTTTTGGCTTCACAGTTTTGTCATGCTGATTTCACATTGGTAGATTCCAGTTGGGTCAACGTACAATTTTCTTCCCTGAAAATTTCCAGGATGGTGAGGTTTTTTTTTTTTCTCCCCCTCTACCATTTTAGCTTTTCAGCACATAACATTGCTAACTTGCTGTGGTTTGTGTTCTGATTTCTCAGCTATTGATTATTTTGAAATATTACATGATACGGACCGATCAGAAATGACTCCCTGAGGTTAACAAGATGACTTCTTTGTGTAAAAATCCCTGAAGCACGATGAAGTGGCATTTGTGCCATTATGCCATTTTACTTTTTTGTAGAATAGACGGGAATGTTAAAAGGCTGCCTGTTTGAATATTATCAGGGAAAAAAATGCAAATTTCCCCTTCTTTTGCCAGAATTGAAGACTGAATCTGTCAGAACTCCACAGATACTTATTTAGCTGTTTTAAATTTGCAAAGCCACATGTACCTGTTTCAGATTATCCTGTGGGTAAGAACATTCCATCAACTTCATAGCTGAGGAGGTATATAAGTACGGTTCTGTGTTAACGTCACTGCCTCATGCTCTCTTTCCAAGGAATTCGGTGCTGGTTTTATTCAGATATAAAGGTGGCATTGCCCGTGTACCAAACAGGCACTGTAACTTATGGAAAACACTTGTAAGCTAGTATGCAGGTATCCTAAGAAATATTTAGTCATGCCACAAACAGATTGCGGGCTTGCTCTGGATCAGACACTGGGTGCTAGTGGTTTAGTGGAGAACTAGCTTGGTAACTGCTTGCTCTCATGGAGCTTACATATTTTTTTATTATTATTTCTTTTAATTATAGTCACACACACACACACACAGAGAGAGAGAGAGAGAGAGGCCGAGACATAGGCAGAGGGAGAAGCAGGCTCCATGCACCACCGGGGAGCCCGACGTGGGATTCGATCCCGGGTCTCCAGGATCGAGCCCTGGGCCAAAGGCAGGCGCTAAACCGCTGTGCCACCCAGGGATCCCGGAGCTTACATATTTAATGGCAAAAGTAGACAATATGCAGATAGTAAGATAGGTAACTAATATTGCACCAAATACAAGTGCTTTGAAGAAAACATAAACCAAGATAAAAAGGTCTGGCAAGTCTGGGCTGATGTCAGGAGGAACAGAAGATTGGATACCTTTTGAGACTGGCTGGAAGTTACCTTGGCAGTGGGGACCAGATGAAGACCTAATTAGGTACAAAGCTAGTGACCCAGTATACCAAAGTGTACAGCCTGCCACTGCGATATTTATTTTCTGATTATCTGAAGACTTTTAATTGTTTTTTTTTAGTTTGCCTGAATATAGGAATCAGTTCAAAATTCACTTTTTAATCATTGCATAGAGACTTCCTGTTTTATTTTTGTTTTAAATATAAATACGGAAGGGACAATAGTCATTTTCTGTTGAGCCCAGTTTGGCGAATTACTTTTGGAATTCTAATCTTTGGCAGTAGCGGGTCGGCCAACCAACACTCCTTCGTTATCCTTCTAGTAAGGGACCACTTGATGATTAGGGAATTGAGCCTAAATTGTAAAGGAATGCTTTGACAGACCGTAGATGACTTATTTGAGTTAGTAAATTTTCCTTTTCTTGGCAGCAGATTGTCACCCGAACACAGTGCCGTGTGTCAGCCTGGCGGGCCACATTGACAGTCGGCATGTGTGGTTGAAAGTTATCTCTTTTTCTCATCAGTGTTCACTTATTTGCATATCTCTTTCATGATTTTGCCAATATATTTACTTAGGTTTTTTTTTTATAATATTAGTCTTATTTTTCTGAATTACTTTTAGTAAAGGTTAGCTTTTTTCCTAAGGTATGATAGTCATGTGATCACAGGCTTGGTGAGCTACTTTGTGTATTCTGATGCATCTATTAAAATTATATTGTTTCTGCATCACTTAAAATTGTCATGGGTGCTACCAGTAGTGTGCTTACCCTTTGCTGAGAAACACTGATCTCAGCTTTTTGTTATATGGAGTAGAATACTGCTGAAGACTGCATTAACCCGTTCAGACCACAGTTTTCCCCATGTAATAACTAACGGCCTTGTTACTCTATTTAGTACCTTAATGAGTAGGGAAATGGCCGTACAGCTTCCAGAAATGCTTAGCTGGTTTGTATACTGAGATCTCCTTTAATATTTGGGGTGAGCTCAGGGCAAAATTATACTATGAGTTAATTCACTCAAGTAATGCATTGCTCATGGACTTGTTGGCATCAGTGAGCCTGGGGGAAAAGTTACGGTTTGAGGCAAGGGGCTTCTCGTCACCTTTAAACATTCCGTGGTGAAGTTGGCTTTCTTTTCCAGTTAGATTAAAAAAAGCAACCTCATATAATTACTCTGTTAACTTCCTCAATATGTAAGCTATTTCAAAATCAAAAGCTTGTGAAAAAAGTCCCCAAAATTCCCAGCTAACTGCTCTGGGATGCAGTAGGACCAACCTGCCTTTATTTGGTTCAGAAGACCTGAAATGATTATGACATTTAGATGACGAAGACACTTAACCTTTGCCTTTAGAGGCCATCCAGTTCTCCAAAACAGAATTTCTGTCTCCTACCTTGTAAGCACCTGTTGATCCTCTATTGCTGTATATATGTTACCCTTAAATAGATATTTATACGAAGCCATCCAGTGTCAGTTTTGATGCTAATGTGTATATCAATTGCCGTGAGACTCCTAATTAGTAATTTCCCATGCTGTTTTGCTTTGGTTTTGATTCTTTTCTTAGCTTCCTTTCTTCCAGCTTTATATTTTCTTCTTTTCCTTTTGATTTCCCCCTACATATCTTAAGGTAGAAAACATATATGATTTCTGAGATCACTCAAGGGGAAATTGGACCTTGGTTCTTAGGGCGGAACATGGTTATTGGTAGAACATGTCACATGATGTGAGCTCTGTAGGTTAGTGTTTGCAATTTGATCAATAGGTACAAGAGGGCTTGTCGTTACATAAGCTTTAAAAAGTCTGATTCCTACTGCAAAAAACTATTAAGTTCTCCAACATTTTTTTTTTTTGGTGCAGGGAATTTTATTATACTGTGTTGAAATACAGGTTAGAAATTTACTTCGGAAGCAACTTAGCGGTCAGTAAATATCTTTATCGTAGAAATAGTCCCTTCGATTGCTTATAAACAACACATTTTTAGGGCAACTATGTTTATAAGAATTCTCACGATGTGGACATTACCCACACACTTTTAAGCAACTTCTCTATCTTAATGACAAAAATCTGATATCAGCAGCAATTTAGATATAACTTCAGTTTGTTACTCCCAGGGGCCTATATCAAGGACCAGAGCACACGTTGCCAGGTGCAGCTACGGGAATAATGTGTTAAGATTATGACCATTTTTTTTAATAAATTTTTTTTATTTTATTTACGATAGTCATACAGAGAGAGAGAGAGAGAGAGAGAGGCAGAGACACAGGCAGAGGGAGAAGCAGGCTCCATGCACCGGGAGCCCGACGTGGGATTCGATCCCGGGTCTCCAGGATCGTGCCCTGGGCCAAAGGCAGGCGCCAAACCGCTGCGCCAGCCAGGGATCCCCGATTATGTCCATTTTGATTGCTCAGTCCTCTATGCCTAGATAATGAGAAGCATTTTGATTATCATCTCTGCCTATATAATTTACAATTAAACAGTATACCCATAATTTTTTCAGTGAACAGTTTTTGAAGTGAATAGACTATCTCGGCTACAGAAAAATGAAAATGTCCAAAATGCCTATTTGCAAGCATTTCACTAATTGAAGTATATTTTGTGCTTGAGTGAGATTAAGGCTGGAACATGGCAGAAAGGACGAAGAACCTAGAAATTGATTTTTGTGGTTATATTTAGACATAACCACTGACCAATGAAGAGATTTCTAATGGTACCATTATCCTTTCTCCTGTTGTGCGACACCCCCCCCCAATAGATCTTGATGAACTATTTCCCTGCTGTTGGGGATACATCCTTACATATATATGCCTATTCCTGGGAGTTTGAATACAATCCGTTCATTTATCAGACATTTTAAAAACATCTGTTATGTTTTAGGAACTGGGATCAAAAAAATGGCGATAGGCCCTGTTGTCAGGGAGTTTATTACCTCGGAGGCAAGAGTTCCAAGAGCTATAAAGTGCTGAGGATATTCTGAGATGGAATAATGTTGAGCACAGTTGACCCAGGCCTAGAGAGAAGATGGTATTTGAATAGCGACTTAAACAAGGAGAAGGGATTTACCAGGCTGAAGGGGTGAGGAAGTGTGTCACACCAGGCAGAGGGGTAGCGTGTCACAAGTCCCAGGAGCCTAGGACAACACAGTAGATGCCAAGAATCTTCCCCGCTCTGGGCAGCTCCTGTCTAGGAGGGAGGGTACCAGAGGAGCAGCTGTGGGAAGAACCAAAAGGTTAGAATGTGTCAGTTGAAGACAAGAGGAAAGGTTCCAGAAAGAAGGAACTGTAACTGCTGTTAGAGGTCAGAGATAAGGATGAGCATAGTCTTTGGATGTGGCTTGAACTGGAGCATCGAGGGCCACGGCTGAGCCGTAAAGTGATGAGTGTGGAGGCCACACTGATACAGATCCACAACCGAAGAAGCAGAAAACCAGCCCGAGGTATGGATGACCCTTTAGACATTTGTCTGGGAACGTCAGATTAAGAGGCTTAGGGAGAGGAGGACGCATAGCCAGGCAGGGTCCCCTTTCTCCCGCCAGGCCACCCCCTCTAGTTCGGAGCCCCCTCAGTCTTGTTGACGCCTAAGAGCAAGAATGTGGGCAAGGCCGGGCTTTCACAGATAGAGGGAGTGTAAGGGAAAGATGTTTCGAGAAGGAGCGAGTGAAGTTGGAAGCTTAACGCGGTGTGCAAGGGAAGGCCAAACTGGAAGACCAAAGTGAAAGATGCAGAAAGAGGGTTTAAGGATGGGTGGCTGGAAAGTGAGAGGGAGTTCATGCCTGAGGGCTACTCTTCTGACTGTGGAATATTTGTGACAGGTGAGATCGTCGTGTGCTACTAGTGAGGGGAAAACGGGGGGATAGGGGCTCGAAAGTGTTGGAAGCTTTGGAGAGGCGGTTATGTGGAATGTCCGAGGGAGCTGTCCAGGAATCTGGGGTGGGGGAGGACTCCTCCTGGGCAGCGGGAGGGCCCCTGAGTGACCCTGGAATATGGTGATTTATAGAGGCGATGATGGATGCGTGTGTGCGTTCATGTGTTGCACGTGTGTTTGTGTACTTGCGTGCCCTGGGGGTAATTCCAGGCCAGATGTAGTAATCAATCACTTAACTTTAACCAGAGTTAGGGAGCTCCGTATATTCTCCATCACTGTGCTAGGCACTGGGGGTCTGAGATGAGCGACGTCATTTCTGTTTGGGGGAGCATATAATTGAGCAGGTCACGCGTATAGGTGAGTAACACACCGGGTAGGGGTGCAAAGATAATTCAGAAGAGGCAAGGCAGTGTTAATAAATGGGTGGGTGGAGGTGGGGAAGGAGACGTCTTGGGAGCTTCCTGGAGGAGGTGACCTCTTAGCCGGCTTCCCAAGGAGGTGAATGGTTGCAGGTGAGGCGCTTGAAGATTGTAGGGAGAAAGACGGAAGAGGTTGTTGGCCACGGATGGGTACAGGCTGAAGGCCTGGAGCAGCTGAGAGGTCCTGAGTACAAAGCGGGGATTTATGTTAGGAAGGTGAATGACTCTTCGAGTTCATGACCGACTCGACTTTGTCTTTATATAACCAGGAGTTAGGGCCAGAAAGCTTTTTGAAAACAAACAAACAGATGAGTTGGTTCTTTTGACCCTTTCTCAAAAGGCATAGTCTTACTGCAGGGTTCCCCCAACCTGGTAACTGCTAGTCTAAAAAAAAAAAAAATAATAATAATAATAGATAATATCGAGGACGCCAGCATGAACCCTAAAAGAAGTTTGTAGGAACTCTGCTAGACAGCCAGAGGTAGGTCTGTTTAGGTTCTGCGTTCACGTATTCACATCCTCGGCTAGGCTAGCCCGTTTCCCGAGTATGGTTCCACATGTACCCTGTGCCAACTGACCATATTTGGCCTCCGGAGAAGTGGGTGGGCTCGAACACTCTTCTCTTGTGCCGGTGCGAGACCTGGGGAGCCACTGCAGCCCCGCTTCCCTTGCTGCTGACCCTCAGCACGCAAACAGCTAGACCGTGGGCTTTGGCTTCTGCAGCTGCTAAGCCTCTTGCGAGAGTTTTCCCAATCCTGATCCGAAAGAGAAAGTAAGTGGCGGAAAGCAGACATGCGCTGGCATCATCAGGTAGTTGGTGCCGAGGTGAGGGGTGGCGCGGGGACAGGGGACCCCCCCTCCCCCGGGGCTCCCCCCCAGCCTCCGGCCCCGCCGGGGCGCTGGCCCCATCGCAGTGCTCGCTGGATGTTTAAGGTTTCTGCGATGGGCTCACTTTCTCCCTGGAGGTCGACTTCAGATTGGCCCGAGCCGCTGACAACACTGCGCTCCTTATTTTCCCCCCATGACCTCAGCTTCTGCTGAAAAAAAAATGTGCCAATAAAGGATGCTTTTGTTCGCCTCTCGCCTGCCCGTGATATATTGACAAAGTGTCTGCCGGCTGAATGGAATAGTTTTACAGTAGGAGAGCGGCTGGCAGAGGAGGGGCAGGACCTGGGCTCTGGAAGGAAGTGAATTGGATAGGTCAGGAGAACGTACCATTCGTAAACACCCCTTCCTTCTTTTTCTTTTCACGTGTCAGGCCGGCGGGGGCCGGCGGTGGGGTGCCTGTCCCTGCGCAGAGCCCAGCCCGAGGCAGAGGCAGCTTGGAAGGCAGCTGCGATCGCCCCCGGGCCTGGCTTTGCAGCGCCCGGGGAAGGACCTGGAGGCTCGGACCTGCCCTGGAGGCGGCTGGGGAGCTGACATGGTTTAGTCCACTCACTGCATGTTGGGTAAATTCAAAACCCACATGCTCGTCCTCTTGCAGTGGAATAAGTCACATCTGATGGACATTTTCTGTGCTTATAGCATAGTAATGAACGTCTGACAGGCGCGACCTTTCATAAGACAACCCACACTATTGGCTTTCTGCCCAGAATATTGCTGCAACACTATCTGTGATTGGTTATCTCTCTATCATGCATTGCTTCACAAGGGGAAACGGCCCCTTTTTTTAATAAATCTACGATGGCTGGCTGCAATATGCCTCACTGTAAGTATTGTGTGTGTGTGTGTGTGTGTGTGTGTGTGTGTGTAAGAGAGAGATGGAAAGGGAAGGAGTGAGACACAGACACAGAGAGAGAGAAAGCGAGAGGCTGGCTTGAATATTACTTAGGCTGCTAGCACATGGCAAGGTTGTGATACTGTAGGACATCAGTGAAGTGCTACTTAGTAAATCTTAACCTATCTCTTTTTTCTACAGGTTGGTACTAAGAAGTGCCTTTCCTGACGTCTCTGCTGCTTGGACCCGCTTCTAGAGCAGTCTCTGCTTTTGCCTTGCTTGCTGCCAGCTAGACTGTGACGACAGCACATCCACCCTCCACCTCTAGCCCAGACACCCCCATTTCTACTTATAATCAAGACAAAAGCTCTAAGTATCTGGCATTGCCCTAGGCTGCTTTAGTGTTAAAAGAAAAGTTTGCTGAAAAAGTAAGATCTCTTCTGCCAGGAAATCAAGGAGGAAAAAAAAAAATCATTTTCTCGATTTGCTCTAAACTGCTGCATCTGTCTATGCCAAACTAATCAATACCGATTGCACCACCAAACTCCATTGCAAATTCAGCTGTGAGGAGATTCCCCTTTCAGACAACTTTGCTGAGAGCAGCTTGGAAATTCGGTGTCAAAGGGTCGGCCACGTTTTCATGCTTGCATTTTGGGCTCCCAATTGGCACTGGGAAGGGGTTACTGAGAGCACAAGGCTGATTCGAGGCCCTACTTTTAAACGTTCATCTACTTACGATTCTGGTATTTCTCTAAAAACCAAAACCTCTTTGAATTAACAGTTTCATGCTGTGAATTTCTAGTGGGAGAGCTTTTCCTTGATATTGACAACACAATTTTCCATGTACTTTTAAAGCAGGGAGTGGGGGAAAAAAAAGTATTTTGGAGGGGACATTTTCATCATCATTTTACAGTTTTATCAGTTCAGCTTTTTTTTTTTTTTTTTGGTTGCTGTTTTTTTTTTTTTTTTTGTGGGGGGGTTGGGTTGGTTGGTTTCACTGAAAAATTTAACTACCTGTAAAATCTATAAACATGGCTGTTAGTGTCACACCGATTCGGGACACAAAATGGCTAACACTGGAAGTATGTAGAGAGTTCCAAAGGGGGACTTGCTCACGGCCAGACACGGAATGTAAATTTGCACATCCTTCGAAAAGCTGCCAAGTTGAAAATGGACGAGTAATCGCCTGCTTTGATTCATTGAAAGTGAGTAAATGTTATATTATTTTAAGGATATGCAATGATTGAATGAAGGGGATTGTGACACAGAGTCCGTGGAGTTTGGGGCTCTGGGTTGCTTTGGGACTAGTTTAGTTACACAGTGTATTCTTACTGCTGGTTTTGGGGTGGGGGACTTTATTGAGAAGCAGTAGAAGCAAGTCTGGCCAAACTTGGTTTGTTATGAATAACTTCATCCGTCCTTTGATGCAATGATTTTTTTTTTTTCCTGAAACAGAAAGCGTCAGGCCACTTTTTACTTAGCGATAGCAGTGTCAGTGTCTATCTATAGGAATAGGAGATGTAGATACCTAGGTGTGTGAGCAAATGCCTAGATTATCCAAGGCCATGGCAATAGCTGAATGAAGACGGTATGTTTTTCCTTGCTTGTAAAGGTGCTGTACCGTTGTAAAAGAAGAGATTTCTAGGCAGCTAAACTTGGATAGACTTTTTTTATATCAACATTTTGACATTGTGGCTTTTTTTATCGTAGAAGCATATGCCTTTAAGGCTGGAAGCAATGCTTTTTGTGGAAAATAGAGAAGTAAGGGTCTCCTGCTGCTCCCGTACCCTAAGTAAGGCATTCAACTTGGCTGAATGTTGAGTTTTAGAAAGAAGTAGGAACTTTTAAGTACTATTATTTGGATTTTCTTTTTTTTTTTTTTTTTTAGCTTCTAGACTTGTGCTGTGAAATAACCTAGTTTATTTTGTTAGATACTGATTATTTTGAAATTTGTAACAGTCTCAGCCAGAAGTGTTAAAAGTCAGCTTTTTGGTTGGGCACTATGATACCGAAAGATCCACTTTCATCTGTCTTGACATTCAAAAATGTCACTGGTTTGTATTTCAGGTATCAGGTTTGAAAATGCGCCTTTTAAAGGATAGCATATGTGTCTTTATTCTGACATGCGAGGTGAAGGCTAGAAATGTGAAGATTCCCGGGTACTTTCACTTGCACAGTTTAATTGAATTGCCTTTGAATACTAATGTGCCACTCTTTGAACCTGTGAGGGGGGTAGGGTGACTATCATTTTACATCCATAGAGAAGTAAAAGTTTCATAGATCCATCTTGCCTTTTGCAAAACAACAACAACAACAACGTGCTTTTATGACAAAAATGCTTTCTTTAATAACATGGGGTGAATCAGCTGAAATAGTCAACTCCTGCGTTAACTCCTAACTCACCCTGATGTGTTAGGAGTTAACATGTGAGTTGACTGTTTCAGTTAATTGCTTCTTGGCTCAGCTTGGGCTGCCTACTTTGCTAAAGTTTTTGCCAAAGACTCAAGGATATTATCTTTAGAGAAGGGTATCCAGGGAGGTGTTCCCAAAAACAAGGCTGTCTTACGGTGTTAGATTATTCTGAACGTCATAGTCCTAAAGATCAATAAGGCAAAAGTTATAAATTACCATCGGGCCTTTCTCTTGCTCTCCTTTGAAAGGCGTCGATGAAGGGCACGGTGGTTGTACCTTTGTGAATGTGTATTCCTAAATGCCTGCTGGCTGAATTTAGGTGTAATTAGAGATGGGGACCCATAAAATGAGGGGCAAGTGGCTAATTACACTTGTCGGTAACCAGCTGTGTCCATAAGTAACCCTGTTTTGACCCAATTACTGGTAAATCTAATTTTTAATCCTACAGACAGTTGATGGTGCCCTCGTAGCTACAAAATGAAGGACATTAAACTTGGCTGTGACATTGAGTGGTTTCACAGAAGACCTGCCTCCACAGCATTTGGAAACATTGTGAAACGTTAAAATTCAGTTGCTATTTTTCCATCTCAAAATATTTTTTTAGTGGCTGCTCACTTGTGGACGCAGAACAGTCTCCCTTTGAGTAAAACAGCAGCATTGCTTAATGACATGCTGTGTGGTTAACAAGATTGAACTGCCACATCAAGGACTTTTTTTTTTTTTAAATAACGAGTAATTTCAAGATTTAAATTTACTTATGAAGTGAACTCATTATAGCAGCTAATCAATGCAAACTTTGTCCTTCTTCTTTGTCTTTCTAAGAGAAACTGAAATCTAATTTATGGTGTCTGAAACTTGGTAAAATATTTTGATTGGAATAAGAGGGGGGGGGGATAACCAAAACAAAACCCAGACACAAATTTATTTGTGGTGGAGGTTCATACCCAGAACAATAGCTCCTAAAATGTTAGTGAAATAAGTATATTGAGAATTCACGCAACAAACTTGGAATATGTAATTAAGCTCCCATATCTCAAAAACCACCGTTCCTAGATCCATATTTATAACTAACACGTTGTGTGATTCTTAATACGGCTTTTTATAGTTGTCTTCCTGTATTCGGTTTTGTGGCCACAACAGATCAAAAACACATTTTAAAACAGTTAAGGTAACTCTGTGACTCATGCTTGAAGTTCTGAAATTTGGGAGCATTATGAGGTTTCCATGCCAATAACCACCAGATCATTTGTATTGTTTTGGAGAGTAAACGGAAGGAATCTAGAAAACTTGTAATATCCTGACTTCTTGAATTGAATGTGTTGTATGTATTTCCACAATCCATAGTCCAGCCTTTTGTGAGTTCTTGAGCCGTGAGATGGAGGTGGCCTGTGTAATCTACTATTTTTAGCAAGTTAGGAAAGCAAACCAAATACTCTGTGAGAGGACCCTGTGAAATGGCCGTACCCTTCAGCTGTGCTATTGCAGACTTTGGCCAGGCTCCCAGGTGACTTACGTTCATAGCAGACTTCTACTTCGAAGAGGAGAATTCGTTTCATTAAAAACAGAAGTCGAACAGTTCAAGAAAAGTATCTGCGTAAAAGAAACCAATTGGCCAATGGCTAAAGGTAATAGGAGGAAAATCAGCTGAGAGTATTTTTTTTTTTTTTGGTTGCAGGTCCGTGATTTCAAAGTCTTTAAATAATTAACGGAGATTAAATTTACTGTGTGAAAACATAGAATTCTGTATCGAGATAGATGTGTTGCTAAGTGCAATGAGAGTACATGATAATCAGGAATCTGTGTATATATTAGGTATGTTGGAGATACAGTGATGCCAGGAAGAGAGAGCAGAAACTGTAATAACGTGTGCTAGTTTATAAATTAAACGCGATTCTCAAACACTTTGTTGTTCTCACCTAATTTTTGCTTTTGTACTTGCAGTCTCAATTTATGCCAGTCTGAGGATTTGTTGAAATTGAGAATTAGACCACTTACACACTATAGATTTCAGGGTTTTAGTTACTTCAGAAACTGTGAACATTTGAAGAGGTAGATAATTTTAGGCTTGAGAGGATTTTTTTTTTTTTTATGGCTTGTGAAAGGGATACCAAAGAGAGAGAGAGAGAGAAAAAAAAAAGTCAACACTGCGAGCTGCCATTACAATAGTATATTTAAGATATGATTCAAGTAACAGTTAATTGGCAAGTTACCTATTTTCTTCAGTAATAATCGCTCAACTCAAATCTAGGGAGTTAAAGGAAGCCTACCGACTGTATTTTCTTGTGATGTCAAGTTATTTAGGCTGTCAGAAAAAGTATACTTTCACCGTATGATCAACACAAAAAGCCTACCTCTTACTGAATTTTTCTTTTCGAGTATCCATTCATTTATCAGGTGCAGGAGGAAGGGAGATAGATGTATAACCTTCATATTAACTATTTTCCAAAAATCCAGCGAAATTCTTTTACTTTGAAAACTTTAGTCGCTTGTTTTCCTAGCAAAGTAGGCAGTTACGTTTAAGATGATTAAGGGGTCATTTCACTATTCCACACGTTTGTGTGTATTTATAGCCCAGCCAATCAGATTTGTCATGGACACATCAGAGATCAGATTCCGCCGCAGAGAGGCAGAGGGGATCAAGGGCCCTGAGTGAACCCATTTAAGGTGCCTCTGAAGACCTAGCAGATTAAATGAACTCAGCTATTAGAAGACCTACAAATATGTAAACATCCGGGCAAATTAACAGCTGGAGGATGTAAAGCCAGTAAGGAAACTCAGGGCCCTACTTTGTCACACAGGGACAGGGTGACATTCCAAAGCGGTCCCGAGGGTCTTCATAGTTAGATTGTCAGAGGTCCTCCGTTGTTAGCAGAGGGTATTTTCAGCGTGGCAGGCGCCTGTGTTGCTGGCATAGTCTTTTCATCCTGTCTTTCCAGCCAGTTTTGCTGGTAACCCTGACAAAGTGGTACTTGCAAATTTTACCCCGAACACCCAGTTTTGAACCTTTGATCTTGTAGGGCTCCGAATGCGAATAAACGTTCCCAAGGGTTTTGTTGTTACTGTTTATTGTTTTGCTGACGCCCTGTCCCATGTGATGTTAAAACTTGGGCAGATGGGAAGACGTACATGTAAGTCTACAGGTACCCATTCGGGGTGGCTCTCGGGGACGGGTTGGCACGGGACTATCTTGTTTCCCCCTAATGACTTAGGAGACGAACTAACTAGAAGGCATAACTTGTGAGACAACGTGTATCATCTTGAAGAGTTCACATTCTAGTTCCTGCACAGAACCCTCCTGACTTTTGTAAAGAATTCCCTGTGAGCGGGCCAGGATGCCATCAACTGTGATATGAACCTTTTTTTTTTCATGAAATTCTCAATGGCTGCAGCTGCTTTTCTAGTACTTATAGGCTTGTTGTTTTTTTGTTTTGTTTTGTTTTGTTTTTGTTTTAGGATTTTATTTATTTATTCATGAGAGACAGAGAGAGAGAGAGGCAGAGACGTAGTTGGAAGGAGAAACAGGCTCCATGCAGGGAGCCCGATGCAGGACTCGATCCTGGGACCCCAGGGTCATGCCCTGGGCTGAAGGCAGGTGCTCAACCACTGAGGCACCCAGACTTCTCCTGCTTCTTCTTTTTTTTTTTTTAAGAGTTTATTTATTTATTTCAAAAAGAGAGTAAAGAGCCAGTGTACTGAGCTGGGGGGAGGGTGGAGTGGGGGAGAAGCAGGGAGCCCGTGATGCAGCCCAGTCCCATATTATGGAGATCGTGGCCTGAGCCCAAGGCAGATGCCT